ATTGCTATTATTATTATCTAAAGAGAAGTGATAAGATTTGCTTGAGCTCATTGAATTTAGGGTTTTCTGTTTCTTTTTCTGCAGTTCCTTTGGGCAAAATCTCCAGACTAGCAACTATATATGGGAAAACCTCTTTGCGGTTTTTGTTTCTGTTACAGGCCTGCTATTAGTTCTCAATGCGATTTTGCAGGTTGGTAGTGACTACCGGGTCTTTGTAATATTAGACCTGGCATTTTAAGCCTGACCTGACCCACCCGTTAAAATTAGTATTTGGATGAATGTTTAATAACGGGTGAACCTGTTAATCACTTGTTAATTAACGGGTCATTTTGGGTCGACAATTGAGCCTATATTATGCCAGTCCCCCTTGAATATTTGTTCCCCATTAGCGACTCCCTATATTTTCTTCCGTATGCAAAATTATTAATGTTTTTATTAAGAGAAACCATAACAGGTTTTAAACAGGTTTAGAAAGATTAGGCTTAACCGTAGTAGTATGCAGACAGGTGAATCAGATGCAATGCACATGAAATGATAATTTCTATTGATTACTCTCTGGTAAGGTTTATTATATATATGGGGCCAATTGCAAGACTTATAAACTTTTCATTTGGGTACTTTTAAATGTGTTAGCCTAATGGGTTGGGTCAAACCCGATTTAAATCCAATAAACCCGATCCGTTTGCCGTCTACTTTGTGTAAGCATTCAAATTGAACAGAATCTTTGAAGTTGGCAAAGATAGTTAATTTATTAATTTTAGTGTACTAAAGCCTACATGCTGTGGAACAGATGTATATCCAGTCGACAGCTGCATTATCAAAGGAGAACAGAAAGTTGAGGGAAATGAAGAAGAGAAGTCCACAGATAGCATCGTGGTTCGATGAGAATGACCTCCCGTTGGATTGGAAAGAGAAGATCATGACATGTGCATTACACAAATTGAACGCGGATGAAGATATCAATATCAAAAATATCCACGATATTCTTCCCCGGAAAGAATTAATGGATATCAAGCGCCATCTCTGCCTAAATACACTAAACAAAGTAAGCTTTTGTATTAAAAAAAGTAAGCATTTGTATCTAGGCAATACATTTTTGTTGGACTTGCTCTTTATATTTCTCATATGGATACGCGTCTTCCTCTAGGTTTCGATGCTTCAAAATGTGAGTGAGAAAGAGTTTGACGAATTCTGCGAGTATCTTAAGCCCGTGATTTATGAGGCGGATACCTTTATTGCTCGAGAGGGGGAGCCATTTAGTAAGATGTTATTCATCACGCAAGGGACAGTGAGGACCTACACAACTACAAGTGATGATGGAAGGGGTTCTTCAAGCACTGGTAATACTGTTGGTGATGAGTGCTTTCAGAAAGGTGATTTTTATGGAGAAGAACTTCTCCAAGATTGGGTATCAATCAAAAGGTTATTCTCCTACTCGACCAAAAATGTTAGGTGCATCACAAAAGTTGAAGGATTTACGCTTACGATCAATGACATGGAAAGAAGCATAAACATAGCAGACAAAGGAAAATACAAGCAGAAAATTGAGCCACTTGAATGGGAGGAGGCGTGAGTTATAAGTTAGAATGCACAAATAATTGTTTTCGTTTCTTAAGCAAGTTCGTAAACCTTTCTGCAAGATCATGTCAGCATTTGTAAATTGAGTATGCGTTTCTGTCTCTTCTGCTGCAGTATTATCCCCATCGACACTACATTGAAATATTGAAATGGTGTCCTTCCTATGCCCTTCTATTTTGTGGAAAAAGGGGGAAATGGATAAAAGGAAAAAAGGGGTTGCAGTCAAAGGAGGCAGATTGTCTGCCCTCCTAAAATGGTGCCCTTCCTATGCTTTTCTATTTTGTGCGGTCACGGTTAAGCCACATTAATATTTTATATTAATTTGTTTTATAGAGATAATAAGATAAAAAGTAATAAGAATATAAAATGATGACGTAATTTAACTGCGATTGCATAGATATAAGGGGATGGAGATGGCACATAACAGGAGAGCAGACAATCTGCCTCCGTCAAAGAAAGCATACGCGCAGGGGTTAGGAGGAAATGGGGTAAACATGCCACTGGGCTGTGGAAAACGGAAGAGGGAGGATGAAGGATAAAGGAGTAGTGAACCAAGGGTAAATGGGATGAACGGCAGATTGATACTTGGGGATCACTCAAATCAAGGGCAAAAGAGCTTGTTCGACGTTACTAATTGTAGATTTACTCGACACGATTGAGCTTAATACTTGATTTTTTTTTTTTTTGAACAAATGATATTATCTACACTAAGGGTTATGCAAGTGGGCTAACCCCTCACAATGAGCTAGCAATAATGTGGTTTTATAACCTCTCACTTACAAGTGAAGAAGAATACTACTAGACTGTAATACTAAATGACACCTAACACTTGATATAAAGAGGAGAAAATTCACTCGCTTCAAGTTCAATTGCACGAGGCAAAATAACTATTTTTTAATTCATCTGAACGTTCAATAGATGGAGTGAGTGTGATACAGCAGTTGTTCACATTATTACGTTTTAACCTTGTTTTTTTAGACAGTTATTCATTGCTTTTGTGTATGAAGTGAGGGTATTTTAGGGATTTTCAAATGTTCCTCCATTTTTTTGCTCTCAGTTTATATACAATAACCTATTGCCACATGCATATGTGATGTAAAGGCATGGAAAGAGTGATCGGATATACCCTAATTTTGCGCGAGAGCCGCAGAACATCAGATTGGAAGTTGTGTCAAACGGGTTTAATCTGTTCGGGATTCTAAACTAAAATCACAGCACTTGGCCAATCTTCACAATTCCATATAATTTGCTGCATGACAAGATCGGGATCGTGATCCCTTTGCTCTATAACTTCCGCTGTGTCCCCCATCACAGCGCATTACCTACTACGGACAATAATTGGATTTTCGAAGGTCTACGATCATTTGTGGATAATATGTGCTTCTTCTTGTTGGTTCTCTGCATATGTTGCGCAGAAACTAATGTGTGTTATAATTCATATGATTTTATGCAGTGGATGATTTATCAATAAGAATAAGGTGATGTTTTATATCTGTAACAAAAGAGCAATGATAAAGATTGCATCAAAAGGAAAAGGAAAATCTTAAAGTTGGAAAGGGGAGATTTTCTGGTAATATATGGACTTCTGTTAATGAAAGAGAGTTTTAACGAAATACGGTATTGTTTACTTTTAACGAAAATGACATTTTTAGTACTCTAAAAAGTCATTCATGGTATTATTTACTTATAACACTTTTTTATCATTTTAAATTAAAACTCAAAATTTTCAAATATTTTTTCGTTACCATTTTTTTTAATGAAATCCCCCATTCGTTATTATAGTTCCTTGCTTTCCAACTTATCTTATTTGCTCCCCGCATGTGGGTAATTGAGTTTTGACCGGTGCATACCGAATTCAAAACTCCACTTGATGATAATAATTTATTTTTATGCTTTGCTTTCCGCGAACGTCTCTAGATACAAGGCTAAAAAAAACCCAGGAGCATTATTGTCGGATTTTTTGTGTGAGGATATCCGGAATCCTGTAATCACATACTTTCACAGTATATCATGCAATCATAAATTATTATAAATTTTTTTTATTTAAAATTGAATATAAATAGTATCTGACAAAAACTAGTTGCATAATGTACGATAAACGAATATGATTAAAAGATTTTCAGAATCCTTGCAAACATATTCCTGCGAGAATCCTCTCTTAAAAAATAACATCTTTGAAGTAGTCCAACTATGTAACAAACGGTAGTTTTTTATATCAGTTTATCTTGTTACCATCAAAATGTATTTTCAACTTTTCCTGCAAAATGTACTTTGTTAATATTGTTGACTAGTTAAAACACAGGTTAAATTATTGACACACAAAAAGAATTATATAGACGGAAATGTCAGGATAGTAATGCTCCAAACATAAAAAAACTCCTTTATTTTTTTTTCCATTAAGTTCTCGATCAAACATAAATTCCCAGACACAATAGAATTTTTGTAATTTGAGACATTGTCGTCTTAATGTTCATCTTTCACAGCGTGATATTATTCACACATCCTATTTTATCTTTTTTATACTGCTTTTAATTATCGACCATCTAATTAAATAAATTAAAGATAATAAAAAAGTTAACAGGATGTGCAGAAGATAAAAAAAAGATGTGTAGATAGCACCACTCATTTTATATAATTCTCCACCCTTGGAATAGCAGTTGACACACTTGGGATAGGACAAGGATTGTCCGCCCTCCACTTCCGGTGCCCTCCCCGTGTCCTCCTATTTTGTGTGGTCACGGTTAAGCAATGTCAACATTTTATATTGTTTTTTTCATAAAGATAATCAGACAAAAATAAATAGTAATATAAAATGTTGACGTGACTTAACCGTGACCGGAAGTGGAGGGCAGACAATCATTGTCCCTTGGGATAAACTAGGGGAGATTTGGATCCTCGCCGGATCCCCTCCCTGGGGATCTTAGAGATCAATGAATATGGACTGTTGATAAAAAATTGTGTCGTCCCAATTAAATATCTTTTATATTTTAAAAATAAAAATCATCATTTTGCATGAAAAATATAAAAAAAAAAAATTATGATTGTATGATTTTTTATCAACGGTCTGTATTCGTTGATTCTTATGATCCTAGGGAAGGGATCCGGCGACGATCCAAATCCAACTAGGGGCTACCTTGTGACGTCCTTGTCCTACTACGTTAACAGTAGCACAGCACCACTAAGCTTGCGCGTGTTAAGCCTCTCTGTCGGAGCGCGCGTAACTCTGCTCCTTGTGATTCAACCGAGTCCATCCTACTCAAAATATTGCAGAAAACTCTCTCTCTCTCTCTCTCTCTATATCTCTCTCTCTCTCTCTATATCTCTCTCATAGAGTTTTACATGAGCCTCAACCCTCAAGTCTCATTCCTCTGTTAAAAGGTTAGTGCTTTTCTTTTTCTTTTAATTTAATGCAATTTCTCTATCAATTTCCCGACTTTGATTGTACTGCTAACTGCTAGCAATCAATTGATTCAATTCTAAAAGTAAAGAACAAAGCAATTTCCCAACTCTCTCTGCTCGCATCAAAATTTTTAATCATTTTTTAATCACAATTAGTGACTGGCTAAACAGGTCAGATCCTCATCCCTTCCGATTTTAATTCCCAATTAATTAATGGGTCTATGTTTTTTAAATTTTGTCGTACCCCATGAATTTCACTTCAAAGACTCCAACTTTCCCTTTCCTAATCACTTGTTTAATCATTTTTTAATCTGGGTTTGTTAATCTTAATCTTCTAAATGTTCTATTTGCTTACCCTTAATTGCAAATCCTGTCTCTTTCAAAACCCAATGATTCAATTTTGAAATTTAATATTTTACTTTTGGATCTTGCACGCTAATTCGGTTGGTAATATATCTTTGCTTGCAGGCTTCTGGGTCACCGTTGATGTTGTTGCAGGTAATTAAATTCATAATCTTTCTCTTAATCCATAGTTTCATGTTTTAATTTTAACAGATTTTACTCTCCTGTGTGTAAGTTTTCTCTGTTTCTTTTGCTTTTCTCTGGTTGCCGAGCAGTGAGAGGTGTTTAGAGGTTGGAGCTGTGGATTTATTTGTTAATGGCGGATTTGGTAGGGCCTAGATTGTACAGCTGTTGTAATTGCAGAAACCATGTTTCCCTTCACGATGATATAATTTCCAAGGCTTTTCAGGTGAGGTTTTCACAATAATTATTGTTCACTCATTCTTCTTTGATTTTTATATGTTGAGAAAATAAGATTTGAATTTTTGTTTTTCTGGAGCTTTACTAGTTCTTCCCAAATGATCATTGAGTTTTGTAGAACTTTAAACTGATTTGCATAGGGTTTCATGTGATTTCCGCACTCCTCTTCGTCCGCCTGCACACCTTCCTTTTTTTTTCACTCAAGCCGTTGGATTGAATGAGTAAAGGAGAACCAATGCATAGAAACAAGAGTGCAGGACGAGAAAACGAGAGTCTGAAAATCGCTGTCCTTTAAACGAAGAGGGTAAATTTCACAGAAGAATTGAAATTGGGGTGTTGACTCTGTCTTTGTAGGTTATCTGGTTTTTGTTCGTCGTTTTTCTTTGTCACTAATCATGAGGGTTCTTGGCTGTGAAGCCAGTGATCAATATATGAACCGAATGGACCAATGAACATACGAAGATAACTTTCCATTTTTACATGAATAGGACACATAGTTTGCTCTTTGTGCTGAATGTTGTAACACGAAAGTACTGCGTCTGCTTAAAAAATCCGAATGTTTTGTTTCATTTATTGAGTGTGAGAATAGGATGTGGGCATATTTTCTTGTGTCCAATGTTGTTTCCAACATGTTTATAGGGAAGACATGGCCGAGCTTTTCTGTTCTCCCACGCGATGAATGTCGTTGTTGGGGCAAAAGAAGACAGACATCTCTTAACTGGTCTGCACACTGTTGCTGATATCCACTGTGGTGATTGCCGTGAGGTGTTGGGATGGAAGTACGAACGAGCTTATGAGGCATCGCAAAAGTACAAAGAAGGGAAGTTCATATTTGAGAAGTCAAAAATTGTGAAGGAAGATTGGTAGCAAAGGGTCCTGCCATTTGTTCCGGATTGCTGTAATTAAGCTAAGTGTACCAATATGCAGTTCCTATATGTGTAGTATTTGTGTTTGTACAGAAACTTGGCATTCCTTGACATTCTATCATTGTTTTGTGCGGTTTGATTCTTGCCGTCTGCTTTGTGCAAACGTTGTAGATGGAAATCATCGATCATCAAATTTATTTGTAAATAAACTATGGCATTTCTCAAGTATGCTCTTTTCTTGTAATATAATCACTAATCAGTTCTATATGCTGCTTTAACGTGTGTGGAGAAAAGCAATATCCAGATTAGACTACGAAACGCGCATATCCTCCGCAGAAGTGAAGCAGATGCGCTCACTGTCTCATGGAAAACGTTTGAGTCTGGTTGCTTCACATCTTTCACTCAAGGCGTCATATTTTTTGAGGTCGTAATGCTTCATTTGTTGTTTAAAGATTATGTTTTTGTTGAAGTTTGTTGGTAAAATCGTTCAAGTTATTGGCTCTAGCTGCAGGGGATCAAAACAAACACAATCAAACAAGGTGAAAACCAGCAGCAAAATGGTTACTTTGAGACTGTCGATACAACATAGCATGTTGTATACAATGTCAATGTCAATAAGCGACACCAGATCTCTATGCAGGTCCACGTATTCCCATTGATAAGAGCTAATCTCGGAATCCTTAATTTTTCCGCTAGTAAGGTTCTAGGAAATAGTTGCCAGGTTGAAATAATACTAAACTGGAAACATCTAAGAGCGTAAATTTCGTCGAAACTTACTGAATACTTTGATTGAACATAACTACTTGTTTTTTTATAAAAGGAGACTCTTCGTTTGCAAATTTCCACTCTAAGAACGTTTCCCAATCTGAGGCGGCGTTGATTTGAGGTATTACTGGTGTTGTGCGCTTCGGTGCCGGGATTCATGCATGGACTAGAACGTACTAGTCAGTAATTTTTCATAAAATATTTTGTTCCATCTTTGCAGGTGTCAACTGTATCAGCAGAACCTTGAGGTATACTTGGAGAAAGCTCCTTTGGGTTATACATGAATCCCCGTGAGGAAGAGATAATTGAAATTTCGAGGTTAGTTTCGTAAACCAGATATACAAATATATTATATATGCTTAGGCTTGTGAAATTTAATGTGTTTTTGTTCCTGATTGGTACCATTTCATGTTTCTTGTGTTCTGTTCAGTAGTCCAAATCGGAATCCTGCAGCAACTACTGGGGAGAGTTCTGCCAATATCAACTATGGAAAATATCGAAAATTCTTTGTTTGGAATGCTGTGTTGGTACTAACGTTTGGGTTAGCTTTGTTAGTGGATCCTTTATTCTTATACGTTCCTATACTCAACAAAGACATCAAGTGTATCAGATTGGACAAAAAGTTGACAAAAGTGGTTCTTAGTTTGCGATCACTCACAGACATGTATTACATACATGACTTTCTGTTTCAGCTTCTAGCTATACGTGAGCCTCATGAGGCTGCGACACTTGAGGTTGGTATCGCTATAGTGGGGAGGAGTTATGCGTCAGCTATGATAATTTGGTTGTTCCCAATTAATATTGCTCCTATTCCACATGTAAGAGATCAACCTTTCCCTTCCCGAACTATATTAATTACTACAAACTAGGACATGTATTCCTAATTGATTCAACATCGTCATTTAATTGTTGGTTTAAGAATGTATTATGGCTTTTGCAGGTAATTATTCTCTCTTTCTCAAAAATAATAAGGGGCTCGAGGTCGACAAGGATGTTTCTGAACTTTCTTGTTGTGCTGCAATACATGGCCCGGTTTCTATGCTTTAATCATCATCGTAAGAATCTCGAGAAGATATTAACTAAACACACTCCTGAATTATGGATTCAAGGTGTTTTCAAATTCTTGATTATCAAATTCTGGATTAGAAGTGCTTTCATATTCTTTAACTTCATCCTTGTTAGTCATGTAAGTCTTTTGCCTTGCTCCTTATTTAGTTTTTTTTTAATCATTTTTTGTGCAACTTGTAACATCATTTCATCCCTTTAGGTATTCGGAGCTCTTTGGTACTTTTTTTCGTTTCAACGAGCGATAGATTGCTGGAAATTTGCTTGTCGAAGTGAAAACGGTTGTGAACTTGGAGGTTTTCATTGTAAGGACAAGGATACATTTAGAAATGTCACGCTTCTAAACAATCTATGCCCTGCAAATCCACGAACTGCAACGTTGTTTGATTTCGGTATATTTGTTGATGCCATTCAATCTGGTATCTTGAGCTCAACAGACTTTCCGCAGAAATTCTTGCGCTGTTTTTGGTGGGGCTTACAAAATATAAGGTTCTTTCTTCATTATTGCTATTATTATTATCTAAAGAGAAGTGGTAGGATTTGCTTGAGCTCGTTGAATTTAGGGTTTTCTGTTTCTTTTTTGCAGTTCTTTTGGGCAAAATCTACAGACTAGCAGCTATGCATGGGAAAACCTCTTTGCGGTTTTTATGTCTGTTATTGGCATGCTATTGGTTTTGATATATCTCAATGCAATTTTGCAGGTTGGTACTGACTACCGAGTCTCAGTATAAAAATTCCAATTATACAAAAACTTCAAGTTAGCAAAGAAAGTTAATTTATTAATTTTTGCATAGAAAATACTAAAACCTACATGTTGTGGAACAGATGTATTTCCAGTTGACAACTGCATTATCAAAGGAGAAGGAGAGGAAGAAGAAGAGAAGTCCACAGGTAGCATCATGGTTAGATGAGAATAACCTCCCTTTGGATTTGAAAGAGAAGATCGTGATATTTGCATTACAAGGATTGAAAGATGATGAAGATGTCGATATAAAAAATATCCACTATATTCTTCCCTGGAAGGATTTAGTGGTTATCAAGCGACATCTCTGCCTAAATACACTGTACAATGTAAGCTTTTGTATTAAAAAAAGTAAGCATTTGTATCATTAAAAAAATTAACTTATGCTTGAATGCTCACGGCCGTAGAAGGCCTAGTTCAATTCTGCGCAATACATTTTCGATTGACTTGCTCTTTATAGTTCTCATATATATGCGTCTTTCTCTAGGTTTTGATGCTTCGAAATCTGAGTGAGAAATGGTTTGAAGTATTATGCGAGTATCTTAAGCCCGTGATTTATAAGGCGGACACCTTTATTATTCGAGAGGGGGAGCAATTTGATAAGATGTTATTCATCACACAAGGAACAGTGAGGACCTACACAACTACAAGTGATGATGGATGCGGTTCTTCAAGCACTGGTAATACTGTTGGTGATGAGTGCTTTCAGAAAGGTGATTTTTATGGAGACGAGCTTCTCCAAGCTTGGGCATCAACTGAAACGACCACCTATCGCTCGACCAAAAATGTTAGGTGCTGCACAAAAGTTGAAGGATTTACGCTCACGATCAAGGACATGGAAATAAGCAGAGAAAAAATACGAGGAGAGAATTGAGCTACATGAATGAAGGACGCATGAGTTATAAGAATGCACAAATAATTATTTTCGTTTCTTAAGCAATATCGCAATCATTTTTGCAATTACAATGCACAAAAAAATTACTTATAAGGTAGAATTTCTGCAATGTCTCAGAGTCAACAAATTGAGTCACCTTTCTTCTACAATCGTAACAAAGAAACAACGGTAATGCATCTGTATGTAACGAGCCTTTAAATAGTTACTACATGCTACCAAAGCCTTTTATCACGCTTTACAGAGAGATTTTCATGAAGCTTGGCAACTTTAAGGCCAGCAAATCCAAATAAAATCTTCAACCTATGCACAGCCCCTTGTTTCACTGACAGAGAAAGGAAGGGGATCAATACCTGACCTAACATTTGTCATGAGGTAAATTAAAAGTGGTTAATTAATTACAAACCTGAATATGATCACTCTACAAGTGAACGTTCTCGAACACAATGCAAGCGGAACTGCTTCCCGAGGCATTTTTCGTATCAAAACCTCCCTACACGACGGACAGTTGAACTAGAGAGTCGAATTCTGCAACAGTTAACAATAAAAGTAGTAATCAAAACACGAACTGAGTACTCCTCAGTTAGTGTACTCTCCAGCGATTTTGCAGATGGATTAGGAGTAGCATGATCATCATCCTGAGCCATCTGAGCCATCCGAATAGCAGTACCTTAACGTAAGAGGGTGGACTGAGTTGAGGAGTAATAGGGCTTTTCTACGCGACGAAGTTTTTTAGGGTTTTTATACGCAAGGCGTCATATCATGTCCCTTTACTATTGTTATTTTTTATTCTAGCAAAAAGAAGATCCTGAATAAGGAGCTGGACTGGCTTGGCTAGAGAAAAGAAGACCCAGGTCGGATTGTGGGCTTAAGATTTCAAATCTGTTGACAACCATAAAGTACTTGCCGGACCATGCTGCATGAAGTTACAGTATAGTTCTTGTAGTTTTAACTGCCGTGATATAGGTTCTAGTAATTTGATGATATTTATCGCAGTTCAAAGATAACTTGATTCCATCAAACTTTTTTACGGTTTTAGCAATTGAGAGTCATGTGTGTGGTATTTTTACACCAGTCAAAAGACCAATTTACTTTCACATATTGAAAAAAAGTTAGGATTCTACCATAAAATCAAATTTATTTAACATGTAACTAGCTAGTTGTAATATTTGAACAGCGGTACGCTTTACAGAAGACGTGGTGATTAGAACCCTAATGAAGGTGATATGATGATTTGAGAAATATATAATTGGTACATGGTTAAGTATCACCCAAAAAGCAGGAAAATTATCATAAGGTAATGAACAAATGTATAACTGTAGGAATGTATGCAGTTGATGGATTATACATGCATTGTGTAGGTAGTACGTACTGTATCCGGCCTACGTTCTATAACTTCTGCTACCTAATACTATATATGATCCCAATGCACAAACAAGTTCGGGGAATATTTTTGCTCGCCACCTTCAAGTGATTGTGATGCTTACTATCATATTTATCACTGTTATATGAGTTTAAATTTCGAGATCGGTGTAATAAACATACACAAATCTCAAAATTTAAACACATCTAACAACGATAAATAGAGTGATGAACATCACCAACACTTGAGGGTGGTGAGAAAAAATGTACCCTTTAATTCGACTGCTTATCATAGACATTAATACGTACAAACAAGAAAGAAAATATTCACTATAGTAAAAATGTAAAATAGCTTGCTAGCCCATATCTAAATGTTTGTTGTGTTTAAAAAGACGATTGATATGTGATGAATTAGTGACATAATTAAGATAATCTTTCCATATATCTTAACAAGTTTTGCGAGAAAAAAATAACGTTAAAGTGAAAAGCTATGAGAGATTGGTGGAGTAGATTGTAGATGCCTAAGTTTTGGCAAGGGGTGGTGCACCTCCACCTACATATATCACTGTAACTAGCAACAGGAGCTATAACCGTAGCTAGTTTCATCGATTTACCAAGACAAAAAGATGGAACAACTATATGGAAAGTAGAAAGTCAATCTATCTTATCTCAATGCATGAATCTAATTACATATTATATTAATTAAGGACTGAGGGTCTACATCTGGGAGGATTTTGTAGAGTGGACAAGATTATTCCCTAGCATGGTGACCGACGGATGGGAATGTTTGTGGTGGCCCTCCATAGCCAATGAGAGATTTAAGTATCAGATATTTAAGCAGTACTCTACGTGATACTATAAGTGGAGAAAACACTATAGTTTTTTGTATTATTCTACTTATTTTATGATACATGAAGCATCCGCAATTTGAAAAACTTTTCTTAGCCAACAAGGGAGTACTGCAAGTTCCTTTTTTTTGGGTCAATAACGAAGGGAGTGCAAGTTAGTCAAGGGGTTCGAGAGCTCTTTGAAAATAGGTGCAGGACCACCGAACTATGCATTCATCATATAACAGACTTCTTACATATTCACCCCTTTTTTTTCATGTTTTCTTAGATGCAAAGGTAGTCTTATATTATACATGAGCCTTAGATCTGTCGTCTCACTTTTGTTACCGTAAAAAATGAAGTTCCTAAAAGCACAGAGTTCTCTAATTTATATTGTTGACGGCAGACCCAGATTTGCTTAGGGTTTATAGAATTTAATAAAATAAATAGTGTTTGGGTCTTGCATACCTACTCATTGTTCTTGAAAAATCATCTCCTTGTGTGGGTGATGATGAAGATTCATGAAGGGCAGGAGGGAGGTGGGGGGTGGTGGAGTTAATGGGTGGAAGAATCTCAAAGGCGCAGATGCTGCTGAAAAGACCTGACATTTCTCATCTGTTGCCAAGCAAAAAGAAGAAACTTTTGCTAATAAAGGGATTGACAGCCATCATTCCAACTCACCTTTAATATTACTTAACCAATAAATAATCCAACCTCAACTGCTAATACACTCTCTAAATACGTACACAATCAACCCACAAATCCAAGTGTTAACTACTAAAGTAAACATATAAAATAAGTCATTAATCTCTGTGCACACAACTTAATTGACAAATTAATTACCGATACTTGTTAGCTAAGCTAACCGAAAACGTAATGAAAATAAATCATTGAATTTCAGCAGGAAATCCTAAAGAACTGCATCGTACGCTGCCGTGGTAGATGATCAAGAAGTAATCTCTATAAGAGTAATCTTGTAATTTCTCTGCGTTATGAAACCCTAACAGGGGACTTCCTTGACCTTTTCATGAATATATGTAAAGAATTCCTCATGATTCATGAGACACCCTTTTGAAGCAAAACCAATAATAAATTTTCAAACATGCACATTGATTAAAGACCAAATAAAGGGAAAAAAATAGTAAGGAGGGTGAGAATGAGCGAAAATTCTACTATGCTCCGGTGTACAGGATATCCTAAGCATACTAGAAAACCGAGAGAGAGAAAGAACAAGGAAGATCAAGTATAATTAACACTGATGATGAAAAAGGGGAAGAAAAACTCATGTACCCTATTACTTTGTTCGTTATCAACTCCAATTCCAAACAAGCCATCCAAGCAAATGAAGAAAAACAAAACCAAATACCAATCTTTCTTCTAGATCACTACTTTTTTTGTTTCTTTTATGGGAATTGAATTACCATGATCCTCCACCTAACATTCCATTCAAATACCCACCACCGGAATCTCCTCCTCCTCTATTATTGTGCTGATCAAAATCAGCAGCAGTAGTAGTAGAGCTCGGAATCTGCTGCTTCAAATCATGAGCAGTAGGAAACAAAAGCCTTGCATGATTAGTATTAGTAGTCTCTTGCACCCCTTGAAGACAGCCACCAAATCCAGCACTCTCAAACCCATCTAGAGAAAAACTAAGCCCACTTGGCTTAAACTCTTGCATAGGAAACCTAGATGAAAACATTGTGATATTACTCGAATGATCCGGCACCTCCACCGCCGCCATCGGCACGAAAGAAGTCAGGCCCCTTGATGCAATCCCAGTACTTTTGAGCAGTTCCATAGCCGATGAGAAATGATGAGATGTAGTAGTAGTGGCTGAGGAGCTAGGGTTTTGGTGGTGGTAGGTTCTGTTGTCAATAGACTCAATACTAAAGGGTAGTTCGGTAATATTATTGTTGTCATGTTCCTGATCAGCTGGTGGGTATGCAAGGTTGAGATCTTGACCTTGGAAGTGGATCTTATTAGGGTTTTGAGAAGCAGACTGAGAAGGAAAATTACTTTGTGGGGTCAGATGGTGATCACGATCATGAGCAACCTTCTTCGCTGAAGACGTGGACGGTGATGATGAATCGGAATTATTTGATCTCTTGTTGTTCTTCCGTGACCCTCCACCCACCGGAACATTTCTCAGAGATCCACCTTCAGTCCAATACCTTCTACAAGTCTTGCAAAAGTATCTTGGCTGAGAGAGGCTGTAATTGTTGTAATAACAGAATTTTGTGGTGGTGGAATTGCACCTTGGACAATTCAAAGCTTGATCCTTTTGAGGCCTTGCCCTTCTCTCTGTGATTGGCCTTGTAGAAGAAAAATCTTCCATGGAGTTAACCACTCCAATACCCTGAAAATAAAATATAAAAATAAACCCAAAAAAAAAAAAAAAAAAAAAAGAGCGACAAGAAAAGGCCATAACTTTGGTGATCGAAAACCCACAGAAAAAGAGTATATATGTTCACTCCGAGAAAATTAAGACAAAGATGGAGAGAAGAAAGTAAAGGGAAAGAAAGCAACCTACTTTATCAGATGATGGGAAGAAGAAAAAGAAAAGAAAAAGTGCAGTACTTTAAATTTTCAGGACAAAAAATGAAAGACCTTTGGAAGATACAACAATATAAATTCAGCCACTATTAGTGGAAAGAAGAAAAGCAAATTAATACAACTATAAAACCAACTTATATATGAAGGAAGATAATTTTCCAAACCCAAAGCTATTAAGCTAAGATATTTCTTCTAAATATTAACTTTGAAAAACTCAACCCTAGATGATAATTTCATGATTTCATAGAGGAAAAAAAGAAAAGGTTTTCGCTTTACCTGTGGCCAGTGAGCTGTGTCCATGGATTAACGAGGAGAAAAGGGAAGAGAAAAAAAGCTATGTGGAGTCTTTTGAGAGAGGAAAAACCACCCA